TATATATGTATAAACTCTCCGAGTAAATAATTCGGGTTCAGCTCCTCACCAGTTGTCAATCAAATAATTAATTTAACAAATTTAAAATTATATATATTATATTTATCGTATAAATATGCATAAAATAATAGAACTAAATAAATCATATGCAAATTTTATACCTCAAGTTTTTTTTTTTTTTGGTACAAAAAAGAAAGAGGCCAAGGGCCTAGTCTAATACTTGTCGGGGAGACGAGACCCTCAATCTATCATGCTCGAGCCAAGGATCTAATCCGGGAGGTGGAGAAGACAATGTTTGAAACCCGAGAGGGTGTGAGGCCGCTAGACGGGCCACGGAGTTCGCCGCATAATTCACTTCTCGATGCACGTGTTGGATCTTGACCTCCCACTCTCTACGAAGGAATTCTTGGGTGGCACGCACCATTACCTCATGAAAACCGACATCTCCAACCGAAGAAGACGCCAACCGCACCACATTTAAGTTACCGACTTCAACTTCTACCCGTCGAAATCCTTGGTCCCATGCCAAAGATAGGCCTTGGAAAAGACCCCACAGCTCCGCGTCCAACACTGTACCTGCCCCAATATTCATAATAAACCCCACAAGCCAACAACCCGACTCATCTCGGAGAATGCCACCCGCACTGCTCAAGCCCGTATGCCGGTTAATCGAGCCGTCTGTGTTGATTTTTACCCACCCCGCCCTTGGAAGTGTCCACCGCAGCAAGCGAGTATTGTAGATGTTAGCCCCTACTTTCCGATAATTCGCCGCCGCCCGCAGGTAATTGTCGTTATCGTGCAGCACTAATTGGGTCATCGCTTCCGCACCTGGAACAGGGGACGAGAAGACACAGTCGTTTCGCCACTTCCATAGCCTCCAAATCGTAACCGCGAATAAACTCCCCCAGTTCTCCGAACTTCCCAACCGAGGTATCATAAGATTGTGTCGTATCCAGTGGTGGAGCTCCGGCCGAGAAAAGACAGCACATGCATGATTGTCTCCTCATCGCCGCACAAGTCACAGGACCCAGACGTCGACATGTGGCCCCGGATCTGTTCGGAGTTGGTTAAGAGCCGCTGTTTTACCACCAGCCATAAGAACGTGCGGACCCTCTGTGAAGCTTGGGCGCGCCAGACGATACGCCACATTTGGGGAGCCAACTCCTGTTCTCACGGCGATAACATTTTATAAGCAGACCGTGTCGTAAATCTACCATCCTCGGAGTCACACCAAATAAGGCGATCCTCTCTTGCCATCGGACTGAGAGGAGAAATTTCAGCAATGCGCGCGATCACCGAGGGCGGCAACACTCAATGGAGGCATTCCCACTTCCATCCCCCTTGAACATTCACCAAATCAGCCACTTTCGCATTAACGTTCTCAACATGGTGAACATTTCACCAACTCCTAGAAAATATATAAAATGACGGAGTTGGAGTGGATTTAGCTAGCCGGATAATTGCACGAGTCAATCATGTAAGAAAAGTTATCCGATTCAATCATATATCGGTGCAGCGGAATGATCGAGATTACATACCTCTAGTCATTGTTTGTGTGTGTTTGAGTTATTTGAAGAACTTGTAGAAACAATAGTGAATGCTTCGACGCGTTCACTTTTCTTCGGTTAGGATCTTTTGGGTTCTTCACTTTCTCTCTAGATGGTGTAGTTTTCAGTAGTCGTAAAGTGATGAGCCCAGGAACCTTTTAAAACCGATGGTACCGTTTGGCAGAAAGATGTACCTTTTGACATATGGTACCTTTTCGTAAAAAGGTACAATCTCTAGTTATTAGTTTTATCCATCA